TCGCATAGGAGGAAAACATGTAATTAGTCTAGACCCCCTAACTGCATCTTAATATATACTCATTTTTTCAGGAATTAAGTTTTTCTTAATTCAGTTTTTTGATTGAAGTTGTTTTGTTTGGAACTTGATCAAGAGTTTGCCGTTTTGGGAAGTCCATGTCACCAACTGCAGTGCCATTGTGCTATTTGAGTTGCCCAAACAACACACCTATCTTGGAAGGTCTGAATTGGTAGCTGTATTATTTGTGATGATTCTACATATAAGTCCAAGTATCTAACTTCTTTGTTATACTTTCTAAATTTGTTGATATGCTTAAGCATTTTTATTGAAATACACACTTTATTATATGTTAATCTTTTTCTCCTTTATATTACAATTAGGGCATTGTTGAATTTTTAAAAATATGTGTAAGTAGGTAGAACTTTGTTTCAGAATAGCTAAGGGAGTGATATAAACTATTTGTTACAAAAATGAGATGTTGTAGTGATAGAGTTGAGAACCACTTTCTGATTATGTGTTGTTTTTGTAACTGTGTGCTTTGCACATAGTAGATATGATGTTTGTTGAATTGGCCAATTTATGATTCCCAGATTGCTTTTGTGTACGTTGTTGCATTTGATTACCATAGCAAGTCTGTAAAGTTGGGAAGGCAGATATTGTTCCCATTTTACAGATAAGAGAATTGAAAGATGTTAACTTGCCCAGTCGTGCTGCTAGAGAGAATTGAAAGATGTTAACTTGGCCAGTCATGCTGCTAGAGCGTTTATTAGAACATGTAATTTTATTTATACCAGTCTAGTGCCCTTGTCTACTATCATTCCATACCACTTTTAAAAACAATTATAATCAGGCTGGCCCCATGGCTTAGCGGTTAAGTGTGTGTGCTCTGCTGCTGGCGGCCCGGGTTTGGATCCCGGGCGAGCACCGACGCACTGCTTCTCCGGCCATGCTGAGGCCGCGTCCCACATACAGCAACTAGAAGGATGTGCAGCTGTGACGTATAACCATCTACTGGGGCTTTGGGGGAAAAAAATTAAAAAAAAATAAAAAAAAAAATTATAATCTAAAGCTATTTAATGTAGGAAAACATCCATATACCACTGCTGGTATTGTTTTTTATACAAGGAATTTTTAAATTGTTTCAGGCACTTGTGGTCGTAGGAATACAACAAAGACAAAAACATACGAGAAAGCTATTTAACAAAGCAAGGATGTTTTCAAAGAAATTTGCAATTAAAACAGTTTTTGAGATATCATTAGGCCCCCAGATAGCTAAGATTTTAGAAATGATAACATATGATGATGAGATGGTGGTGAAATAGCTACACTCAAACACATTAATTACATTATAAATTGGTACAAATCTTCTGAATGTAATATCAGAAAATGAGTTCAGCAACAAAAGTATTTACACTCTTCAAAATTTGTTACAAGGAAATGCCACAGAATAAAAAAGCTATAGTCAATCCACAAACATTTGCCTGGTGTAAGTCAGGAACTGTGCATGGTGTTCAGAATTTCTAAGATGAGAAAGTGTTGCTGTTTTCTTGAACTTCTTGATTTGTGGCAAGAGAGTGTGAGACAAATAAATGATCAAATAATTATAATGTGTTGAGTTGTAATAGGTGTGTGTTTCAAATTTGAGTGAGGGGATCAAGTAACATAACCAGGGAATACACAGTAAACACACCAGGGAAGTAATTCTCCAGGGTTGAGGGGAGAGGAGACAGTGTGTTAAGGGAAAACTCTTGGAGAAATTGAGACATTTAAGCTGCACTTTGAAGGATGGTTAGAACTTTACCGAGTGGATTAATAGGACTGGATGTTTTAGGCAAAAGAAATAGCATAAGCATGAACCTGAAAGCACATGCAGAAATGCATTCATTTGACAACAACAACAACTTACGTGTCCTGGGAATTGGGCATTTAATGATGAATAAGACAAGTACAGTCCTTGTCCCCTAGAGCTTTCAGTCTAGAAATTAAAATTGTTGGGAGGTTGGCATTCAGAGATTTCAAACTGGTGGTTCTCTTGGGCCAGATTTGAGTTAAAGGTGTGTTTTGTTTGGCATACACAGTGGTTTCTCTCCCTCTTCCTTCTTCTCGTTTCCCCTCAAATAAGTTGCCAACACTTAAACATGAGATTTCACGTATGAATGGTCCTTGAAGATCTGGCAACAGTGTGCTGGCATTCTCAAATGCCACTTCTGTCAGAAGTGAGTAGTGGCCACCCACTTTAGATGGGCATGCACTTGTACTCTTCAGTGCTTTTTTTTTATACCTGGCACATTTTATTCATTTATATAATTTACCTGGCTTCTATATGCCTTTGGGTTGTGAGTCCTGGATAAGTGGTTTACTTCTGTCCCTCTCTTCGTAAATTTTCTTTGACAGATTTTGTGTGTGTGTGAGGAAGGTTAGCCCTGAGCTAACATCCATTGCCAGCCCTCCCCTTTTTGCTGAGGAAGATTGGCCCTGGGCTCACATCCATGCCCATCTTCCTCCACTTTATATGGGATGCTGCCACAGCATGGCTTGATGAGATGTGTTGATCTGCGCCTGGGATAGAACCTGCGAACCCCAGGCCACCGAAGTGGAGGGCGCGAACTTAACCACTACGCCACCAGGCCAGCCCCTTTGACAGATTTTAATAGGAGAAAATGCAGGGTAAATGCATAATGTGTTTTAGGAAAATCTTTTAAAACAGTTAAACATTTTAGTATTCAGACAATAGCTGCTTTTTACTGAACATTATGTGCTAGGCACTTTATATAGCTTTTCTCCTTTGAGCTCTATATACTTTCCTTTTAATTCAGGTTTAGAGAGTTAGTTTGTCCAACTATTTAGTATGAGAGCTGGGATTCTAAACCAGATTTCTGACTCCCAGAACCCTCCATGCAGGTAATCTTTGGTGTCTGGAAAGTATACCTGCAACATGTATTTATTGACTGTGGGCAAGTGCTAAGTATTCAAAGAGGTAAGAAAAACTACTTCTCTATGTGCGGCTTATAATTAGTTGAGGAGACAGGCATTTAAGTAAAATGTATAACAGTAGAGGGGAACATGTGTTAAATACCAAGTGATTGATATAAATTCTAAGGAAGCTCAAAACTACAACAGTGGCAGGGTGCATAGAAAGGAGGAGACTGATAGAAATGACTAAGGTAAAGAATTAATATCTTTGCGAGGGAATGTTCGGGTAGTGAAAGAGAGGTAGGTCAAAGGTGATTTGCCTGTCCTGGATATTTCATATAAATGCAGTTATACAATGTGTGGCCTTTAGTGACTGGCTTCTTTCACTTAGTATATGTTTTGCAGGTTCAGCAAAACATATTTCCACGCAAAAACGTTTTCCATGTTGCAGCATGTATCAGTACTTCATTCCTTTTTATGAGTGAATAATATTACATTGGTTTTTGTGTGGACATAGGTTTTTCAGTAACCTTGGGTGGAATTGCTGCGTCGTATGGTAACTCTGTGTTTAACATTTTGAGGAATTGTCGGATTACTTTCCAAAGTGGCTGCACCATTTTGCAATCCACCAGCAATGTATGAGGGTGCCATTTTTTCCACTTCTCATCAGTACTTATTGTCTGTCCTTTTGATTTATCCAACGTAGTGGGTGTTAAGTGCTATCTCCTTGTGGTTTTGATTTGCGTTTCCCTAATGACTAATGATGCTGAGCATCTTTCATGTGCTTATTGGCCATTCTTCTTTGGAGAAATGAGTATTAGTGTCCTTTGCCCATTTAAAAATTATTATTCATCTTTTTTTTTTTTTTTTTTTTTGTGAGGAGATCAGCCCTGTGCTAACATCCGCCAATCCTCCTCTTTTTTTGCCGAGGAAGACGGCCCTGGGCTAACATCCGTGCCCATCCT